AAAAACGATGGCACCAGCACTGCGATTAAGAGCAACAGGATTGTCACAGGCAGCGGCATTGCCAACATGAAGATTATCATGCCCATGTTTCAGACAAAAACCTAAACGGTAAATCCTGACCATCAAACCCTGCTTCCCACCCAAACTCCAACACGTCAACCCCAATTCATGGTCATCCCCGAGCCATTAACGTCGTTGATTCACGTTAGTTCGACACTCTAGGAAGGTTGTTGTGACATCGCAAAAGAAGGTTATCATCAGGAGGGTCGCGGGCCCTAAATAGTAGGATCCTTAATATAAGGAGCCCAGAATAAGGTACCCCTAATTTTCGGAACCTCGAATTTCCGATCCTAAAACCTGTCACGAACAGTTCGTCTGCTGATGGACAGAATCTCGCATTACTTCAGATCGCCTGAGCTGTGTCTAGCAGGTATCTTCGCGGTATATTCCGCTGAACATGGGCGGCGCCTTGAACCTTGACAAACATCCTTGCGAAACCATATTGCACTAGGAGTTTGGGGGAGGGGGGGTAAAAACCCTAACCCTAAATCTTAAACCCTAAACCCTAAACCAGTAGGGCAACCGTTTTGCTGAGGGCAGTTCCCCGACTGTGTCCTCGCCATCCTCCGACTGGCTCGGCCGAGATCTCATCTTAGTAGCTGAGTGGATACACTTTACACTTTTTGCGATAACATTACGCACTATAAAACTGAAAGTGTACACTTTTTGGGGCTTATGCGCTCAGCAACTAAGCTTTGCAAGCGGATGAATCTTTAGATGGATACAAGGGGAGCCAGCAATGGGGGACCCTAAACCCCAAACCCCTAAAATGATTGATTTAGGGCTTCGGGTCCGGTGTGTTGGGTTAAATAAAGATAGCCCGTTGGGTAGGGCTTTGAGGCCTTGGCCTTTGGGGTTGGGCCAGGACTCAAGGGATTGGGTTTTGAGTCTTCCCGTGCTTTGGGCTGCAGCTTCACCATCGCCCGAAGGCCCAATCAACATAAGCTGGCCTGACCTGCAATAGAACAGGTTTTTTTCAGTCGGACCCTTGTGTATTTTTTTCGTGGGGGGGTGACTCAAAAAACAGAGAGTACGTAGGACACTAGATGCTTGCTCCTCATTACAACCAAGACAGTAGAAGCATGGCTGCCGTTTCTACATTTTATTACCCAGAGGCAACTAGAGAACTTAGTGGAGCTCAAACCCCCGATGGCACGTCTGTCGCCGGAGTCCGGCCAGACTCGTTTCATGAGTTCGTTGAAATCTTCGAATCAGAGACCGTCGGGCCTTAAAGTGACATGCCTAGCAAGAGAGACCATAGAGCTGAAACTCGCGCTACAAGCTCCCGGACGTCATAGGGGAGTTTCCGAAAATTAGGGGTGCCTTTCTTTGGGGGTCCTTACAATAAGGAGCCTACCATGTGGGGTAATTACTGTAATTATTAGGGTCCCCTATTTTCGGAAACTCCCATATCCGCAGCTTGGCAAGCCTCCCAACCTTCAGCACTGCATCACTCTATGCAGAAGCCGGAGTCGTAACCCGCGCTCCAAATGTCGAAAGTCGAGGTCCTCAAGTTGTTGGTGCCTTGCTGCAAACCTGGAGCTCATGGTTTAGGGTTTCGGGCTTGGGACTTCAACGATCAAGGGTTGGACAGTTCCGGAATCCCGGAAGGACAAGCGCTTTAGACAGACAAAGAACTGAGTGTTTCCGGGCATAGGCAGGGTGTTAGGGCCAAGTGGTAGTGACCCCAAGGGTCCAAGTACCTAAGAACCATGCACTCTCCCAAATATGAACTTACATAACTACTATCCTAAACCCAAGTACCTCATTATTGGGTCCTTTGGACCCATGCGGCTATTATTATAGAACCCTGATATAGATCCCTTATTAAATATTATCGGATCCCTTAACGGAGCCCTTTACAGGAACCCATGTTGGTCTTTCAAGAGAAGAAGAACAAAACAGACTCAGGGCTTGGGAGCCTCTTCCGTGCGGCGGAATGCAGCCTGTCGCCAAGGCCCTCTTTGCAGTTTGTGGGTTTAGGTTAATATAGGCGCCTAAATAATTGCCAGTATTATTTTGGAGATTCCAAGAAACAAAAGTATAGGCTACCACAAAAACCCAATTCTAATCATTACTGCCCCTATAGTAGACCATGTTACCGGTGTCATGCGATCACTACGAGCAACGGCAGCAATAACTGCACAAACTGCTGTTGCTGTGCCGACGACGACAGCGACGGCGACAATGTCGATCATGACTCCTGCTGCTGGTGCCACCACCGCTACCCCCCCTCAAGCGTAAGTTGTGAAGCCCGTGTTCTACCCCCGTGATTAGCGCGAAGGTCGAAACTGTTTCGCAGCTTGAGGTTTTGCAGGCTTGTTGGCACCGTCAGCACCACCCTGTAGCCGGTAGCCTAAACTGCAAACCCCAAACCGCAGTCACAGACACCACAAGCCCTAAGCCCAAAGCCTCAAGGTGTACTATATATATGTATATACATAGCTATATGTGTGTATATACACACTTATATATTTTCATATTTGTAAGTATATATCTGTATTTTCACAAACAATTACACATGTTTTTTTGTGTGTGTATATATATATATATATGTATACATATCTGCCCTGTGCAAGGCAAGCCTACCCGAAGGCGCAGCCAGCCCCACAGAGCCTGAGAAAGGCGGCCGGATTGGTGGTGGTGGCTGGGGGATTCAGGTTTCTCCGGGCGTTGGGTTGACACGGTTGACGATATGGGGGTTTCCGAAAATAGGGGTACCTCATTTTGGGGTCACCTTATAATAAGGATCTTGTGTGTATATACTATATGGGTACATGGAGCCTTAGGGCTAAAATGACCCTAGAATCCTGGGGTTCTTCTAGGGGGATCTATAAAGGTCCCTTTAAGGGGTCTATAGAGGGTTTAGGGTTGACGATGTAAATCCTGCCTTACTTTAAGGACCCTAAACCATGGGAATGATGGTATATTCCTGATTAAGGGTAATGTAGGATTTATATCATGAACCGTAAACCCCGTATAGATCCCTTAAAGGGCCCCTTAAAGGTACCCTTATGTAGGATTTATATCCTCAGCCGCAGTTTGCAGTCTCGTTGTGTGGAGGCCCAGGGCTTTAAGGATTCAGATCGCGCAGCCTCGCAGCACCAGGCGCCTTGTTGAAGCCCTTGAGGGTTTAGGGTTTAGGGTTCAGGGTTTAGGGTTTAGGATTTAAGGGTTTAGGGTTCAGGGTTTAGGGTTTGGGGTTTAGGGTTTAGGGTTCAGGGTTTAGGGTTTTGCCAAAATCCCTAAACCCGAAAAGTGGCAAGACGGCTTCGGCCAAGGCTTCGTACCTCAGAAGCCCTAGAGCCCTAAACCCCACAAGTCCTTTAAGCCCATGGGATAAAATCAATGCAGTTTTAAAGCCAACGATCTCAACGTATCTCAACCGCCACCCCCCCCTCCCCGCAATATACAATATAGAAGAATGAATCAGGGGTACATAATACGTCGTTAGTACATAGCAATACGAATGCCATTCCTCAGGGCTCCGGTTGCGAGTCCGACTATGCCATGATATACAACAAAACCCTTTTCTGGTAATTAAAGGGAACTCCAGAAAGTTGGAATATGGGTTCAGGGTAAGATACCCTATAATTTACCATAAAGGAGTTACGATAATGATATTCCAACTTTCTGGCTTCTACTGTAAAGCTTCTATTTTATATGACATTGTAGGAGAGGAGAGGCTGTGCCCAGTCATGGCCTCACTTACTGTGCGCATTGCGTTATTGAGCGGCGAAGAGCATGGCATCTTGGCTTCAGGGTTTAGAGATGTGTGTGGTTGTCAAAGTTATGGTCCCTTTTTGGGTGCCCTACATATTAGGTGCCGTACTATATTAGGAACCCAAAAAGGGTCCATCATTTTGACAACCACCCATGTGTGTTTCCCGTGAAGATACCCTCGGGGCCGAAATACCTACGGTATTGGTACTTACTTGGAGGGTCGGGGGACTTAGTAGGTAGTTAATAAGTAGAGTTATAAGTACCCTAAAAGGTATCCTAATTGGGGTTATGGTACTTATAACTCTCTAAAGCAACTAGTTACTAAGTCCTCCGATCCTCCAAGTAAGGTGCTTCGGGTTAGGGGCCTACACCTTGAGCCCTAAACCCTGAACTCTTTGTGGTGTTCATATGGAAGCCTCAAAAGTTGCGTTCCTTAGTTTAGGCATACTATTTAATACCCCCCCCAAGCGTGTTCTAATTATTCAGCCCACTATATGCCCAAAGGGTCCCAGGTGCAGCCACGGGGGAGACTTTCCCAAGTCATAGTAGTAACTCCTACTATAGAGGTCCTACGTGCGACTATTTAGGTACTTGGTCGGATGACAGCCCCAAACGCTAAACTCTACATGCTCTAAACCCTAAAGCCTAAATGCCCGAAACTTAACCCTAAAACCTAAAGCCTAAACCTTAAACCCTAAATGTTCAGGTCTTCAGAGTGAGCGGGTTTGGTTCTTCCCCCAACGGTCCAAAGGACCCAATAATCAGGTATTCGGTTTTCGGATATTAGATATGTAGGTTAGCATTTTGGAGAGTATATGATTATCAGGTACTTGGACCCTTGGGGTTCCGTTTCAGCTTTCGCTTTTGGCTGGTGCCTGGAGAGGGTACTTCAGGGTGGACTGGGGACCTGGTACGGAGTATTAAGGTTGAGGATTTTTGGGGTTTAGGGTTTAGGGCTTTTTGGGGTTTCGGGTTTAGGGTTTAGGATTTTTGCGGGCTTGCGATACTTTGTCTTGTCTCCGGCTTTTTGGACGAGGTTTCTTTGCACATCAACAGTATGAGGGTGGCAGGAAGATTGGCTCTGAACACTTCATGGGAGCCTGTTAACATGTATCCTCAGGCAACCTGCCCCGCATTGATGGATTCTGCGCGTGGCCACCCGAGGTATCACTGTGCCAATCCATGCTACTGTCGCTGACCTTCGGGCGACCGCGGAAATGGAGATGTAACTGGGCTCTGGAGCTTTTAACAGTACTCCCAAAGGCTCCATCTACCCATATAGTAGGTACTTAGGCCTGAAAAAATACCCATACAGGGATCCCTTCAAGGCCTAAGTACCTACTATATGGTTATATGGAGTCTCAGGGACTTGCACCCGTAGGAGAACGTTAAACTTCGTGGGGCTCCTCGGGTTTTGGGTTTAGGGTTTAGGGTTTAGGGTTTAGGGTTTAGGGTTTAGGGTTTAACCATCGAGTATGAACTGCGCTGGCCTCGTTTTTGAATTAGCATGGGCAGTATGTAGGATCAGTCGTTTGGGTTTTGAAAGGTTTCGGGTTTATGTTGTGTTCTTGGAGGTCTGGGTTCCGAATGCGGCTAGGTAAAACCCCTGAACCCTGCGTTTTAAGTAGTGTTTAGTAAACCCCAAACCTTTCAGCCCCGAATCTATCATGAGTGTTTGCCTAGGGTTCTAGTGCACCTCATATGCCGTAGCGACCCTGCAAGAGCTTATTCTACCTGGTGTTTGTTGGCAGCACAAGCTACTTTAAGAGTGCAAGACCTGCTATTGCCCACTGTTTTCCATTTGAGTTCCTGTAAAACTAAATCCTAAACTGTCAGGATTGCACGGTGCGAGTTTCAAGCAATTTGGGATACGACCTAGACCCTTAGTAGAGTCCTTTGTTAGAAGGACCCCTGCGTTGCTGAAGCTGCACAACTTTCTTTCCACATGCGAGGCGCAGAAGTCTTGGTAAGCTGATATCTGCCAGCGGCACCGTCTTGCTGGCTTCTTGTCACAGTCAGCACACGGACACACCAAAACGGGGATGGTTCAAGTGAAAGGGTTTGTTCCGGAAACACTAGAAGCCTCAAACCCTAAATCCCAAATCCCAAGTTCGCAACACCTAAATCCTCAAGCGTTGTGGAAGTTTCACCGTTCAGGATTCAGGGTTCGTGAGTTTCGGGATCATGGGTTTAAGGTTCAGTAGTTCAGGGTTCAGGGTTTTAGGTTTGGAGAGTTTAGGCACTTGTGTTAGCTTGTGTTGCCTATGAGCTGCGCGACTAAGGCTTCAAGCACACTCGCGCAGGAAGACGTCAAGGATGGTGGCTCTACGGCTCTTGTGGACCTTGTTGCTTTTTGTTGTTTTGTTTTTTTCCACCAGCTTGTGGTTTCTCTTTTTTATGATTCTTCACAAACAGGTAGTGTTTGGTATTGCTTACCTTCTACGGAGTGAAGGTGAAGCTGCCCGCCTCAAACACCTGAGTAGCTTGATGGAGTGGGTGCCTTCCTCAAGTTTTTTTTCTGAGGTGATGTCATCACTGCAGTTTTCCAAGACGTGACTGTTGCAGCAGCCACCAGCGCATTTGCCGTGATCCGCTCAGATGGCACAGCTCCTCGAACGAGCTCCCATCGAGTTTTCTGTTCTTTTGCCATCTATGGACCGGGTGCAGGCTACAAAATCCTAAACCCTAAGCCCTACACCCTAAACCCCAAATCCCCACCCGAAGCACCCCCAAACCCCAAAATCCTAAACTCTAAGCCCTGATTCAACCCTAAACCCCAAATCCCCACCCAAAGCCCAAACCACCGAAGCCCTAAAACTCAACCTAAAATCCGAAACCCCACTTGGATTGAAGGGTCTTTGTTCCTTAATGTTGCTCAGCGTTCTTCTGGTTGGCTCTTAGGACTTGAACTTTTTGGGTTTCTATGCGAACCATAATAAGGATTTGGAGGGGTTCAGAAATCGGCCAAGGTTGTTGCCTGGGGAAACCGGCTCTGTGGCGGAGACTGCAGTGCAGTTCAGGAACAGCTGCAGCATGTGCAGCCCGGTAATTAGACCCCAAGGGTCCAAGTACCTAATAATCATATACTCTCTCCAAAATCCTAACCTACGTAACTAATATCCTAACACCGAGTACCTGATTATTGGGTCCGTTGGACCCTTGGGGAGACCACGCATTGAGCATTGACTTTGCGGGGTCTTTGGGGCACAGGAGGTTCGAGTTTGCTATAGAGGCCTTAATAGTTACCTATGCTATTGTGGGGGTCCCTCATACTACAGCTATAGTATCACACACCCCCCCCAAAAAAAAAAAAAGCACTTTTCCAATTATTACCTATTAAGGCTCCTATATTATGTACTTGGTGATTGGGATTCGGGTCTGTCGAACTTCCCTTTGCGCACTCCAGACTCCAGACGTTAACCGTCGGAAGATGCTACATGCACACCATCGTTCTAGAACAAGACCTCGAGCTGTCATCATGGATGGTTTCAGCACGCCGTTCCATCATGGTTGTAACCTATTCCCCAGATCATCCGAGTCTGACCGTTGTTTGAACACTGGGTGGGATGTGAGTCGGCTTCTGATTGTTGTGGCCCGTGCTCCCTAATCTTGAGTTTCTTCCGGGCCCACCCCCCATATCACAGATTCGATGGAATAAGGCAATCCATTCAAGCAACATGGGGTGCCTTCGCAGCTCTTCGCACTGATGGTTCAGTCGTGACCTGGGGCGATCCTGGCGGTGGGGGCGACAGCTCTTCCGTGCAAAGCCAGCTCTGTAATGTTTGCCAAGTTCAATCCACCGGGTTGGCTTTTGCTGCCATCACGGCGGACGGAGATGTAGTGACTTGGGGTTCTCAGCTTCATGGTGGTGACTGCAGTGCGGTGCGTGATCAGCTCTATAGCGTGCAACAAATCCAATCCAATAGCATGGCTTTTGCTGCTCTTCGTGCAGACGGATCTGTTGTGACCTGGGGCGAGGGGGCACGTGGCATTGATAGCCCTGCTGTTCGTGATGAGCTGCAAGAAGGAGTTCTGAATATCTACTCCCAGTACTTCATAGGCCCCCTTGCACATGAGTTTGGAAGGGTTCTGGGCTTGGAGGGGTTCGGGTTTGGGATACTTGAGTGTAGTCTGTTTGGTTTGAACGTCTTGTGTCCATAACACGAGTCGAACTGAAGGTTTTGGCCATGAAACGAACAACCAAGGCTTTGCTGCTATCAAAGCAGGTGGTCGGATTGTTTTCTGGGGTGGTGGCTATGGTTCTCCGCGAGGCGTTATCCACTCGGGGCTTGACGACATCGCGCATCTCCAAGTTTCTTGGCGACCAACCAGCACCAGATTTTTGGTTTACATGTTTTTAGTTTTGACTTGCAGCTGGTTGGAATTGGGGGTCACTGCAACACGCTAGCTTATCAGAGCGACGATCCATGATGGAAACCGGCCACTGCTACATCCGTAGGAGGTTGTTGTCAGTTCTACGTATATCATAGGCATTAGACCCCAGTCATCGGTACGCCCTCCAACCTAAAACCGTGAACGCTAAACTTGCCCTAGACCCCAATCCCAAAAAACCCGCACCTTAAGCCTGAGCCAACTTCAGTTCAAAGACCGGAAGCTCAAAACTGTGTTCCTTGAGGTTCTTGGGGGACGGTGGGCTGCTGCTTCGGAGGATGGAAACTTGGCACTCAGCTTTGCATCCATCCGCGGTGACAGGAGCTTGCTGGTTCCGGAATGCGCAGGCAGCCTGGCACGTTGCCCACCGGATTGCCTCGCAATACTTCAGAAAGATGGAACGGTGCAGTTCTGGGGGCACTGTGCCCCGACCTGGCTTCAGAAAGAACTGAGCAATGTTGTGCGACTTCGGATGGCCGGTGGACGTGGTGCAGCGCTCCGATCAGATGGGTCAGTTGTGTTGTGGGAAAACACGGCGCGTGGTGCGAAGCCTTTTTCCTCTGCGCTCGTGCACAGCCAGCTAGCGGAAGTCAAGGACATACAAGCAAACTTGTTCGCTTTTGCCGCTCTTCGACGAGATGGGTCTGTTGTTACTTGGGGAGAAGGCAGATGCGGAGGCAACAGTGCCGCGGTGCAAATGCATTTGAAGGATGTCATTAGCATCCAAGCGAGCAGCTCTGCCTTTGCTGCGATTCGTCGTGATGGATCCGTGGTGTCCTGGGGTGACCCAGACAATGGGGGTGACAGCAGTCTGGTGCAAGAACAGCTGGGCCGTCGAGTTACCCACAACAAGCAGGCGGCTCTTCGGGCAAAGAAATCTGGTCCTCACGCCGTCAAGTCCCAAGTGTTGAAGAAGCCTTCGAAGAAGTATTCGAAGAAGTAGAGGTGGCAGCATGTGAACTTGGTCAGACGGAGTGATCCAAAGCAAGAAGACATGACATGGATTTAGAAATATCTTACGCCAAGTCAAATTCCAACGCCTCAAAAAAGATTCCACGTGCCTTGACGGACCCCTGGACCCCTGAACCCATAAACCCTATATCCTGAAGCTTTCAACCCGAAGACCTGTTGAATCCTAAGTACGTACTATTTAGGACCATACTTGGAGTGTCGGCGACTTGGTAAGTAGTTGTTTTAGACGTTTTAAGCACGGTTTAGGGGTTAAGGGTTTAGGGTTATCGTAACCCTATTTGGGACCCCTTTGGGTCTTCAAGTCTACTTATTTGTGTCCCCGACCCTCCTACTGTTGATGATATAAATCCTGCGTTACCTTACGGACCCTAAACTATGGGAACAATGGTATATTCCCTATTATGGGTACTGCAGGATGTATATCATCAACCCTAAACCTTAAACCCCTTATAGATTCCTTAAAAGGAAGCCCTTAAAGGTACCCTTATGGACCCCTTTGGATTTGTATTTCATCAACCGTAGTAATGCTCTATGAACGGGGTATGCTTCGGTGCAAACGCCAAGGGCGCCAAGCTCTAAACCAGTTCAGACAAGAAGTCTCCATTGGGGTTTGGGGTTTAGGGTTCAGGGTTTAGGGGTTTTGGGGTTTGGGGTTTGGGGTTCAGGGGGTTTAGGGTTTAGGTGTTTTGGGGTTTGGGGTTTAGGGTCCACGGGTTTGGAGGTTTAGGGCTTAGAGTCTTAGGGGTTCAGGGGTTGAGGGTTTGGGGCAGTGCTTATGGTAACCCTTCTAGCAGTTCTTGCAGTAACTCGTGGTGTAAAGTTGAGAGTGAGTTTGCAGCTGAGGGTTTTGCAGGTTCAAGGTTTGGATATGTTTAGACTTTGAGCGTTGAAATTAGAAGAGTTTCTGCACATATGTACATATATATATATATATATAAATATCATATAGTGCTTGCGGACAGTTTCAGTGTGCACTCCGGCCGTGAAGCAGACAGCGGAAGCATCAAGCACAATAAGTGACAATAAGCATTAACACTAAAAGGTCCCACAACTATGAACCCTCGCGTAACAGTTCGAGAGTGTAACTAAGGGGCCTAAATAATTACCTATACTATTTTGAGGGTTCCTTATTATAGTTATGGTATAACGGCGCTCAAAACACTATTCTAATTACTAAGCCTCCTATATTAGAGCCCTAACCAAAATATGTCATCCCACAAGAGCCTTTATCCCTGGCCGTTATGAGTTTTCGACGAGACACTGTAAATGGGATCGCTGTGCGCTGACCTTATAAGTTACAGCTTGATACAGGTTCAGCTACTGTTGATGATATAAATCCTGCATTACCTTAAAATGATCCTAAACTATGGGAATCATGGTAGATTCCTTATTATTGGCCATGCATGATTTATATCATCAACCGTAACACTCCCAGTCCGAAATCTCACGTCTTACTGTAGGTCCTTGATCTGGGCTTCGAGACGCTACCCATAGGCTCCATATTGTTGATGATATAAATCCCGCATTACCTTAAGGACCCTAAACTATGGGAATTGTGGTATATTCCTTATTATGGGTAGTGCTGGATTTATCTCATCAACCGTAGTAGTTCCTTTTGGGGATTACCTTATAGGATCCTGAATATGAACCACCAAAAGAAACTACAATGGAGCCCATGGATAAATGGATTTCTGTGGTCTTGCTAAGGACTTGGAAAGCAGGACTTCTCGACAGACAAATACAAAGGGGAGTTTCTGAAAATTGACCTTAACTTTATACCCTAAAAAGTAGGATCCTTGATATAAGGACCTCCAAAACAAGGTACCCGTAATTGTCGGAAGCTCCGGAAAGAGCCGGTCAGAGAGCCCAGAGTTCGAGGGCAGGGTCACGGTAGAGAACTGCAGATGTTTGACCTGCAGATATACTGCAGCTCATATTGCACGAAGTTCCTTCACAAGGGGTTTTGGGGGGTTCCCACATCGCTTCAGATTGTAGGGCTTCAGAGTTTATGGGGATCAGGACATAGGCAATCTAGGCATTGGAATTTGCTGCTAAAAAGCACCTATGAGAACTGGTTCGTTGCGATGAGCTGGCCATAAATGGAATGACAGTTTGCAGTCGAAAACTCCCCAGGTGCGAGAACTCCTGATCCATGTGACCACGTAACCCTAAACCCTAAGCCGTGGTTTTGGGTGCTAGAGGGTTTTATTACAGGGTTGAAGCATGGGCACTGAAGCCTAAACCTGTCAACTCTCAAGCTTGATGCCCTAAACGCTGTTTAGGGTATGTAGGGCTCAGGGCCCTAGATCCTAAGCCCCCTTAAAGCCCTCAGTCCCCAATTTCCGGACCCTGAACCCTGGAGCCCTAAACCCAACTAGGGGTACCTTATTTTGGGGTCCTACTATTTTGGTACTATATTTCGAGGATGCTTATGTGGGAGTTGCCGAAGATTAGGAGTACTTGTTTTAATTGGGGTCCATAAAAACAAGGATCCGACTACTTAGGGTACTATATTATATTAGGGTTTAGGGTCCCCTATTTCCGGAAACTCCCAAAGTCCCTTCCGGAAACAGGCCCTCGGCCAGCGTGGCGGGGTGGTCCGCGAGCGGGACGGCTTTGAGGCAGCGACCAGGGCTGAAGAGGGGGTTCAAGATCCAGGGTTTGGGGTTAAGTTTACCGATGTTGTAATTCCATGTTGTGGGTTTGGGATTGGGCCTTGTAATCACCACTTGAGGAACAAGGTATGGTTCATCTTCCATTTCTGTTTCAGTTTTGTTTCCGTTCTTGACGTCTCTTGAGGTTGGCGTTTGCGAGTTTACTCCTCTGTGACATGCGTTTGCAGAGGGTCCATGTGTAAATAGTTTTGTACTTGACGTGTCATCACAGGTTTTCGTTCTGTCTTCCGCTTCTCCAGGGTCTTCCCTTTCCGGTTCCGTTTAGTTTTCCACTTGTGTTTTCGGTTCCGTTCGTGCTTCCATGTGGGGTTCCAGTGTCGATTTCGCTTCCGTTCAGCTTTCCGTTTTCCCTTGTAGTGCCTTCCACTTTTTTGCTAGGTAGTAAACAGTGCTAATGCCGCGGTGCATTTTGTCCAGCCATTGGGGCTCGGGCGGGTTCCGAAACCAACGCCTGAGCGCAAAACGGAACCGATAGGGCAGATTCTGAAACCGGAACCTGGAATCCGAAGCGGACGTATTAACCCAAAGCCCTATCCTAAACGGCTAAACCCTGCAACCCTAAACCTCATAACTCTAAACCGCCCAGAACCCTAAACTCGACAATGTTCAACCCCAAACGGCATGCAGAAGCCTGGATCACCCTTGGTCTCCATGGTAGTTCCTTCTTGTGGTTCATATTTAGGATTAGGGTTTAGGGTTGTGGTTCATATTTAGGGTCCCATGAAGGTAATCCCAAAAAAAAGCACTTCTATGGAGCCTATGGGTAGAGAAGCCGCAGGTCTTCTTTGGCGTGGATGGCAGTAAGGCCTCGCAGTCCAAAGCCGCGAAAGCAAAGGTCGCCAAGGACCGGCTCATGTTTCATAAGAGGCCCAAAGGGTTTAGGGATAGCTCCCAATCTTGGAGTTTAGGGTTTAGGGTTCATACAGAGTTTGGGGTTTATCATAGGAGGCCAAAAGGCGTTTTAGCCTATGGGGGTTTAGTAGGGATTAGGGTTCCCATAATAGCGTTCATATTAAGGAATCCCTACCCCAAGAATCTTAAACCCCCCTTTTGGCCTCCCATCAACGTTTCTGTAGGTATCGGGCTCCTGTCAAATTAGGTTCCCTAGTAGCGCCCTTTTGCCCTTTGTGTTGCTTGGGTTCCCCTATTGAAGCCACATAGTAGGAAAAAGGGGCACTTATTATGAAGGGGCTACTGGGGGAACTTAGAAAAGGATCTCTAAGGGTTCCCTGAGCGATCTAGTATGATAGCCTAGGGATTTTGTTTAGACTTTGGAGTTTACGTTGTGGGTATGGTGTTCTTGTTTTTGGTTTGCAATTCGTGTTTTCTCCTGTGTTTGGATTCTTGGTGGAGGCTTGAGGGTTTTGTGGTTGTGGGCCGGGCTTTGCCGTTTTGGTTTTGTAAGTCTTAGGATTGGGCTCAATCCGAAATTCGAAATCCTAGACCGCCAGCCGTACATCCCAAACCCGATTACCCAACTATAAACCGCACACCCTAAACTTCCAAACCCGACCCAGGATGCGAGAGACGGTTTCGACAAGTTCTACGGCCCTTGTCTCAGATTTGTCCTTGCTGAGGCTTCGCCTCGGGTTTGTACTTAGAGTGCAGGGTCCCCACAGAGCCTACTTCCGGCCTTCGGCAGACATATTCCATGGTTTGTGTGTCGTGGAGATTATGCTGATTTTCATGTTACGTAACATAATGCTTAGTAGTGTATGGTTTTGCGGCCTGGAGTTGGGATTCCAGCCTGTCAAGCTGCCGATTACCGGTTGCAGTGCAAGGATGCTAACATAAGCCTTGAAGCCCTAAACCCTTAAAGCACCAAACCCACAACCACCAAGCCCCCAGCGCCCACACCTCCAAACCCCCTCCAGGCATCCCCAGATCGGGTGATGGTGAGGACCGGGGATGAGGGTTTAGGGATTAGGGTTTAGGGTCATAAGACCTACTTCGAGGGTCGCAGAACTTAGCAGGTAGTTACTTGATAGACCCAAAAGTCTCAAAACCCCAATTAGGATCCTGTTTAGGGTACCTACAAGTCTACTCAATGCTTGGTACCTGCGCTCGCAGGTCTGCAGTTAAGGGGTTGTGGGTTGAAGAAGGTCTTGGGCTTCTAGGGGGGGAGTCGGGTGCTTTCGATGTGGATTGAGGGTTCAGGAGTCAGAGATTAGTGGGTTTAAGGTTTTGTTTGGGGTGTGTTCGGGGATACTGAAGGGCTTAGTTCGTCGAGTAGGTGGCAACTTACGAGTGCCCTCTAGATAAAGAACCATGGACGTCTGGGTCCAGCAGCGCCGCC